ACGCTCTTCCGATCTTATCAAATCAAACCAATTATGTCGGGTTATTAAATCTAAAGACCAAACCAAACCCATAAAACTCGGGTTTTTCGCTCTCGGTTTTTCTCGGGTTTTTGGGTTATTCGAGTTTTTACAGATTTTCTTCCAGTAAAATCTTCGTAGATCAAAACATGTAAATTGTGCTCAAAATATTTCGTTAATCCTAGTAAGATACAACTATATAAGGTATTTTCCAAGAAAATAATGTAAAATATGAGATGTGTCATGGCATTATCCTAAAATATTCAACAATAAAGGCAGTAAAATTATGTAATATATAATATTGCTAATTAAAAAACCATAATAAAAATAAACATACTCTAAAAGTAGTCATGCTAAAGTAAGTAGACTAACAAGGGAGTATTAATTACATGACTAAACACTAAATAAAAAATAAGAATCGGTTATGCATTTTTTTCTAAATTATTGCAAAACAAAAAATAGATATTCAATACATTGTCGTTCGTAGTAATGAATTGAATGTCTTTCGTTAGCATTAGTATTGATTTAATTTTGGTTTTGGTCTGTTAGCATTATTTAAGTTACTAATATTAATGGCTATAAAATTTATTGGAACATTCAAACGTTCTAAGTCCAACCTTGAAATAATACCTTAAAAGATAAAATTATGAAAAAGTTTTAGAAATATTTATAAATTACATCACAATAAGTATATTTATATACTAAATATATATAAAATTTTTATATATAATGTCGGGTTGGTTTTGTTTCGGTTTGACTTTCTTTAGTAAAACCAGACCAAACCACTTATGGTAGGGTTTTTTTTTCCAACACCAAACCAAATCAAACCAAAACATAGTCGGATTTTTTTTTCTCGGTTTGACTCGGATTATCGGATTGGTGCAGTTTGTCGGTTTCCTTTGTACACCCCTATATATATATATATATATATATATATATATATAGATGACTACAAAATGGCTAGAACAACACTGTCTAGATAAAGATATATATGAATCTTATTGTATAAATTCAAACCACTTATTAAAGTTTGATTTTAAGGCACTAGCTAGAGAAATGGGTAGGGGCATTGGGTTTAAGCCTCCTTTACTAGAAGTACGTGGAAGTTGATTCCTTTCTATTCAGATACCCAATTAAGGACCAACTCATGTTGCAGTAAATCATCATAATAGAACACATACACACAAATATAATAGACTAGAGTATTAAGTAATAAATTAAATGTATGCAATTTAATTTTGTAAAACCAAAGATAAAATAAAAAACTATATTAGAATATATCTAACAAAGAAAGCAGACGCAAGGGGATAAATACACCCGACAAAAGAAGCATAAGTAAATGCAGATCCATGTGGAATATATTTGCCCCTACTTCAACAAAATCAAAGTGCCATAGATGCACCTTTTGGAAATCTTGCGAATGTACTCGGACTCCGTGCAAATAAGTCTTATAAAAAGAATAAGTATGAGAAATATGATGGAAATATAGACTACCATCTATAAGTCATAATCGTAGAAAACATATCGTTCAATTTCTATTCAATGTTGAGAAAAAATCATAAAAATTATGACCTCCAATAAATGTTTTTGATCTCACACTCGATCAAATCGAATTCTTCATCTGAATAAATAAGAAATACATAGTAAAGACATGATTGATGTACGGATAAATAAATCATTCCAATCAGTGATATATGTGGTAATACCCTTAGAATACAACAATCGAGAAACAGTAAATGGATGTAAATATAAAGTTGTTTGAAAAATAACTGATACAATCGGGCAAAATAAGCAAAATAAGAAATACGGTACTCTTATTTTGTCAGAGAATGGTATGTTACTGAGCTTTGAAGGTAATATGATAGAAAAGAAGGTTTGATGCTTTGAGTGAGGAAGTACTACAACTCATATCTATATATATACTAGTCTCTACATTCGTGCGATGCACGAATATCCTTAGTGGCAGAGCAAGGTTGAAGAGTATGGACTTGAGTAAATCTCCTTCGTATAAAATTATATTGTACAAATATAGCAATTTTTTCTTTTAATTATATATAAGTTGTTAAATTCCATTGACATACGAGAAAATTCAAGTGAAGAGACAACGTGGTTTAAAATATCTTGAGTCAAATATTACGAAGTGCGTATTAAAAGTACTAAACTTTCAACTGAATAGATATTCTAAATTGCTACTCAATATGTACGAAATTTAATAATTGATTCCTCAAAATAAAAAAGAAAAATATAATATATAATTCAAATCAACTTTGTAATAAAGTTTTGATATATTAAAAGGACAAAATAGAACTAAGTATTCTTGCATACGTACTGGTGTTATTGTCACGACCCAAACCCCGCACTGGTCGTGATGGCGCCTCTCGTGAACACGAGGCCAGCCAACTAACCCACTCGTCTTTTTCAAAAATAGTTAAACATAAATAAATAGCGTAAATATGACTTAATAGTATTAATCAGCGGAAAGCCAACCCAACACAACCCTAACCGGGGTGTCACAAGTCACGAGCATCTATCAGAATGTAAATCCACTACAGGGTCTAAAATGTACAAAACCGGAATAATGAACAAAAGAGAGAGACATGGTGCTGCGAACGCTGACAGTCACCTCCTTAACTCATATAACTCTGCCTCTGATCGGCCCAAAACCCGCTACCGGGTGAATAGATACCTGCATCTGGACACGAGGTGCAGGGAGTAAAGTGAGTACTCCAACTCAGTGAGTAATAAAGGTAAATAACAACTGAGCAGTAAGAAATCACGTAAAGCAACCAACATGCTGTATAGAAGCAGGGTACAATCCTTTGAGAAAACAGTGAAGCTGTGAAGTCTTTGGAAATCTCTTGGCTCAGTTTAAATCTCTTTTTAAAAATGATCTTTCCAACAGTTACGAAATGATTTCAAAACAGTTAGTGCTGATAAGCACAGAAAAATCGCCCCTCGGGCACAAATATCACAGTATAACAGGTAAAAAGGCAAGTAAATATGCAAGATGAGCACATAAAAGTTCGCCCCTCGGGCAATATCTCAGAACAGTACCAGCCCCTCGGGCTCCCTCTCAGAAACATTCTCAGCCCCTCGGGCTCTCTCTCTCAGATCACTCTCAGAACAGTATCATATAGTAACCGCTGCGGCGTGAAGCCCGATTCACAACTTGCTGCGGCGTGCAGCCCGATCCATATATCGTCGACGACGCTCACTGGGGGTGTGCAGACTTCGGGAGGGGCCCCTTACGGCCCAAGCGCAATATCAAGCCACCTCGTGGCATATAAAATAAGGCCTGAAAGCCTTATCACATCACACACGAGGCCTGAAAGCCTCCTCACATTAGTCATAAGGCCTGAAAGCCTCCTCACATCACTCACAAGGCCTGAAAGCCTCCTCACATCACTCATAAGGCCTGAAAGCCTCCTCACGTCACTCAAGCCACCTCGTGGCACATAAAGTATCTCAGGCCCTCGGCCTCATATCACTCAGCATATCTTCACATATGGCCCTCGGCCTCACTCAGTCCGAAAATCCTCACAAGCCCCTCGGACATTTGTAAAACAGTAGTTATCAGCCCAAAATATCATTTAGAAATATCATTTAAGTTTCAAATCTGAGTAAAATTGGCTGAGTTTGTAAAACTGTAAATATCAACAGGACTGAGTTCAAATAATACGTCAAAACAGTGAGGAAACTGTGATAAAATCCCCGAAGGGTTCAAATAATTGGCACGGAGCCCAAATATGGCAATCAACCCAAATCATGATAATAACAAATAAGTTTCAGTCAACTATGCGGTAAAATCATCGATCGGGACGGACCAAGTCACAATCCCCAACGGTGCTCTACCCCACGCTCGCTATCCGGCGTGCAATATAGAACTACGGTGTGCAAATCCGGGGTTTCCAACGCTCAGGATATTATTTACAATCATTACTCACCTCAAGCCGGCCAAAATCCTAGCTCGCTATGCCCTTGCCTCGCAAATCGACCTCCTCGCGCGTCGAATCTGATCAAAACCACAACGAATACGTTACAATAGGTTAAGGTAACATAACCCAATCGAAAAGACTTGAAAAATATCGA